GAGATGGCCTCTCACTCATCTTAGTAAGAGTACCTGTATACTGTAGGTGCTTATTAAGCATTAGCTGAATGAGTGAATGAGAGTAATCTGGATAAAGGAAATAAAAGCGAGGAGGGACAGTGACAGAACTTTGGTGTTATAAGTACAGCAGAAAAGGCCTAGAAACCAGACCACAGAACTAGCCATGGGCAAGTCACTGATGGAGTACTAGGGAGGAAGTCAAAATTCAAGAAGTAAAAGAAGAAGCTGGTGGAAAGGGAAAGTGAGAAAAGAGAATCATCTTTAGCTTTTATCCCCAAATGCTGAGAAAAAGTGCCTGCTAAGAGTTTGAATCTTTTCTTCCTTCCTGATTGCCATCCATACTGTGGGTGCCGGCCAGCTCTTTCACTGAGGCCTTCTTGCTTCCATGCTCCCTTGGGGGCCAGGCCTCTCCCGGAGAGAACCCCATCAGCTCCTCTGGCTCCCGCTGTTGCCCTGGAGTAGTGTCCTGGGTTCTCTTCTCAGGTCTGCCATGACTCAGAGTGTGACCTTGGGCAAGTCACCCCCTTCTCCCTAGGCCTCTAAAGTCCCTTGCAGCTGTCGGGATGTCTGGGAGAATGTAGTTTGGATGAATGGTGTGGATTCCAACTTGCTCTTCACCGCTTTTCATCTATAAATTGCTTTGCCAAATGCCAGCTGTCCTGCGCTCTGCTTTCGGTCCTCAGTTGGACTCTAACCCACCTGTTGTTGGGCCCCTCCCAGTATCCTCCTCCCACAGTTCAATTCACAGATACGTCACTAGGCGGCACTGCCTTGATCTCAGCACAGAAATGAGCTTCAACCTCTTAGGCCGACTGTTGAGTGATTAGGCCAAACATATGTAGCTTCCTCCAGCTGAACTAAAACAGCCGAGGAAATGAAGTCTAAGTTGATTTCAGTGCTCTGAGAGCCAGTGAATTTTTGATTTTAGAGACCTTTCTACTCGTTTTCTGCTTTACATTTGGTGCTTCATGCCTTCAAGGTGACTGAGGCTTCACGTTATTCATTGCTTTTTCCCTCCTTTCTTGGTGGCAAGGAATCTTAGATACAGAGAATTGGGTTAATCACTCTTCTTGATTTATAGCCTTCTTTCATCAATGTTTCATGCAGGACCTCTCTTGTTTAATTGTTTAATTATTCTCTTTTATCTCTTTGCTCTTTGCTAGACACTCGTCTAAGCATCTCACTCATATGAACTCACTTAATCCTTACAATCACCCTGTGAGGTTATATTAGCAGCCCCATTTTACAGATGGGAAAACTGAGACATAAAGAAGTTAACTAGTTTGCCCAATGAACTAACCAACCAGGATTCTAACCCAGGACTCTAGATCCTAAGTGGGCCCTCTTCACCTCTGCCTTGCAACAGAGCCTGATTTAACCCAGCATCAGCTATGGGGACAGATAAGTGCAGTGTTGGCCAGGGCATTAACCCATGATATCTAGCTTATAAGACACTGACCAGAAGAGAGGAGAGGGTGACAAGGACAAGGCATTAACAGCCAGGCCTTCTATCAGCAGCATTTGACCCCAGGCAGGAGACTCTAATGGATCTCTCTCAGGGCAGGACCCAGGCCCTGCATGGTTAGAGGTGATGGGAGGAGGATGAGTGAGTGTGCGTAAGCCCAGCCCAGATGAGGGCTGATGTCAGTTCTCTGTGTGTTTGTCTCTGAATGTGACATATGGTATAAGCTGATTGGTGTGAAATTCTGTCCTGCATTTTCCATCTACTGAGTGTGAGGTCCTTCCAGTGGAGGCATTGGAGTGGTTGGAACAGCTCTAGCTGGGGACCCCTCAATGCCAGCCATAGGCCCTATGAAGGGTGCTCTAGGAGGATAAAATTGGAAGGTGAATGTTAGTGGCTATGAAGCAGGATGAGGACCATAAGAAAGTGAAACCTCTGACTCTGGTTACTGGGATCTGATGTACTGTGAGTATCATGAGTTTTAGTAATAACAAGGCTGGTGTCAGGTATCTTGATTCTTGATGCATGGCTCTTTCTGGGAAACCACAGCTCTGCTCTAGTTGCTTCTGAAGTCCTAGCCACTTTTTTAGGTGGGGTTGCTTAAAGAGAATCAGAAACTGATTGGGAGCATCTCCTCCCCCACTGAGGTTTCAGGCAGGCAGGCTCCTCATCTGAGTGTTCCTGATAGGCAGGCCTGGCCCCAGAGACCTGCTACATGCTTTCTGAGCCACAAATATTTCACACCATGGGTACCCAGCTGCCACCCTTCTCCTCCCCCATTCCTTTCCATCTCTTCCTTGTTCCTGAACCCACACCGTACAGTCACGTTAGCCACTGCCACCTTACCTGTCCCTCCCTCGGGTGGACCCCTCTGCTGGCGTTCCTTCCAGGAAATCTGAGTACGCTGAGCACACCTCTAGCTTCTTCCGCCTCCAAAAGCAAAATGAAATTGACAGTGATGAATGTTTCCTACTTGCGGGACATGGTTTGTGGTGCCTAACATTAGTTCATACAAATCTTGCAACAACTTGAGAAGGAAATGTTTGCTGTTGAAGGTCCTGAAGGTACTGGGCCCAAGACTGAGAAACCATTTAGAGGCAAGTATGCTTGCTTGCCTCTAAAACCCACACTCTTTCTTTGTTTTCAGGTGTCCCCCAACCCCCATTCAGCATCCCCAGCTTTCTAACCTCAGAGCTTTGTTCCCAAGCAGTCTGGATATTTTGCTTCTCCTCAGAATTTAAAAAAAAAAAGTGAAAGAAAAAGGAGGGTAAGAAGAAAGGGAAAGAAAAGGGAAAAAAATCTCTTATACTTCTGAGGATCTTTTGAGGATCATAATTCTAGAATGATTAGAATAACTTGTTTTTTCTACTCACTGGTTATTTTTAAACTTTTAAACTGTGGAACCGTTTCTTAGGAAATGACCATGGGACGTTCAGTATATGAAACACATAGGAGTGGTGCTGTTGGAAGAGGCAGGGTGGGGGAACTCCAAGATCTGCCCTCTCTGCCTCTCTTACAGCCGGAAGCAAGTTAAGGGAGCCTTAGGTGTCTGTTGAACACTTTGAGAGCCCCTGATTCTCTCTCCTGTTAGAGATAAGGAAGCTGAGGCCCAGAGCGGGGAAGCGGCTGAAATCAGGACTAGCAGTGTCTGGTTTTGCAGCTTCCAGCCTGCAGCTTTCTACAGTTTGCATATCCCTGCAAACCCCACCTAGTCCAGGAAGGGGATGCGGGTTGGGGAAGAGGGGGAGGAGAAGCCGGGCTTCCTCTTTCCTCCTTCCTCATCACCAACAGCGTGAGCTCCCAACCGCCTTGGGGAATGAGGTAGTCAGGGAGAGGACAGCTGGGGAGTACTGAAGGGTGCAAGCAGAGGCACGTGGGAGCAGGTGACAAGGAGTCAGAGGAAGTGAGAAGGGGGAAGAAAGGAAGAGGGGAGGGGAAAAGAGTCAAGGAGCCGCTGTGCCAGCCCAGGACTAGGAAGCTGGCCTAGGGTGTGGGCCCTGGCCTTGCTCTGGGATCTCCTTGGCAAGTCCTGGCCCCCTTTCCTGCCTCAGTTTTCTCCAAAGGCTGCTGTGCTCCCCAGCGGTGAGAGCACTGTAGGCTGTCCGAGGGGTGGCTGGTGTGAGAGCACCACATGCATGGCGCCGGATTAGCCGCTCTGCCTGTGAACAGCCGACTGGCTCCGGGTAGCTCAGGAGTCTCGAGGCTTAGATCGCTCACCTGTGAAACCAGGTGGGATGAGCTCGTCTCCAAGGGCCCTTTTGTCTCTGACGTGGCGGGACATGGAGCCTGTGCTTAGGGAACCCGGAGAAGGGGCAGGTGCGGGTTCCAGGGCATCAGCATTATGTAATCTAGCAATCTTGTGTTATGAGTGAGGAAACTGGGCCTAGAAAGGCAAAGTGACCTTTCTGTTTCTCTCAGCTTTATTTCTCTTCACCCTCTGAACTGCAGAGTTGTAAGATTCAGTTCAGAGCAATTCTGTGCAGTAGATAAGCTCTTCTGTTGTTGTTTTTCTGAACATTCTTTTGACTTTCAACTTTTTTTCTTACAAAAACAGTGTATGCTTGTTGCAAACATTTCCATTAATACAGGAAGTGAAAAGTAAAAAACTGTAAATTGCTGTCATCCTCCTGTCCTCACCGTTTGAGTCCCCAGGGGTGTCCCAGGTTAACAGTTTAGTGTGCATTCATCCCGACCTTTCTGATGACCACACATACATGTGTCCCCCAAATGGGATTATAATAATATCAATAATTCAAGCACAAACTTTATAGTCAGACACATCTGGGATTCTAATCCCAGTTTATAGCTAATTGACTGAGTGACCTTGTTACTTGACCAGTTTTAGTCTCAATCTCCTCATGTGTGAAATGGGAGTAATAATAATATCTATGTAATTGGGTTGTGGTGAAGATTTAATGAGATTTTATATGAATGGCACTTAACTGTCAGGGCCTGGTACATAGTAAGCACTACACACACACGCATACACATTCAGGAGGCCCAGAATGAGTTAGAGATATAATAAAAACGTGACCCAAGTTTTCTGACCTCCAGTCTCAATGACTTTCAGCCAATCTCTCTGCTTCTCATCCTGGCCCCCTGGGCAGAAGTTAAATGCTCAATATTTGTTGAATGAATGATTGAAATTGTTGGGGGAATGGAGCGAGGGATCTGAGGTCTGTGGAGTTCCTGGGGTGCCTTCTCTGGAAGATGGAGGGTTTTACCCTGTGGGTTGGGAGGGTGTGGGACAGTGTGAGTTGGCAGGACCAGCTGTTGCTTCAGGGCTCCAGGCCCGAGAGTTGAACCTCAGGGCAGAGCCGAGGCCCCAGAGTGGCTCTCAGCTTAAAGTAGCTTGGCTTAAAAGGAATGTGCAGTGGGCTGCCTCTGCTTGGGAGGGGCTAAAAAAAGCCTTACCCTCCCCTGGGCTTTGTGTGAGGGTTATCAACTGCTCCAGTCAGCTCATCTCTCTGGCTGGACTCTGACATATTTGAGAGGGTCTGTTTTCCTGGCCCCTCCAGGTTTCCACCAATTGGCATGAAGGGGTCAGCCTACCCCAGAGGTGGAGGCCGTGGGGAGTGTGAGGTGTGGGGGGAGGGGCGGGGGAGGGGGCTGGTAGCCCCAAACCTGGTGACAATGCACAGTTGTCAGCTGTACCCTGCTGGTGTTTCTTCCTTTTATAGTCAGCAGCAGTTGCTCTTGCTCTCACCCAGCCCCTCCGTGGGGGCTCCTAACCAGGATAAAAGGGGCAGGAGGCAGCCAGTCTGCTGTCTCATCTCCCGGGTGCCTCATCTCTTGATTCCTTCCCAGGTCCCACCTCCACCGAAGATCCCAACAAGGCAACATGCCCCCCAAGAAGCCTGAACCTAAGAAGGAAGCAGCCAAGGCAGCCCCGGCCCCAGCCCCGGCACCAGCCCCTGCCCCACCTCCTGAGCTCCCTAAGGAAACTGCCTTTGACCCCAAGAGTGTAAAGGTGAGTGAGCCTCAGCCACTGGGATGGGGGTAGGATGACATTCAGGATCCTATTTGCCCTGGAGCTCAGAGATGTACTTCATGGAGGCTGGACTGGGGTGAAGGCTATGGTGTTCGGGCCCCAGATCACAGCCCCAGGGGTGCAGAGCAGGTGTCGGGGCTGGTAAGGGCTATTTCGGGTTGTGGGCTTTTCCTCTCAAGAACAGGTTTCTGCTCTGCCTGAGGGAGCTCTGCTCTGTCAGCCCAAATTTGCCCAGCAGAGTTGGGAATGGCAGGGAGGTGCAACCAACCATCCAGCCTACTCTGAAAACACTGTAGGGACCACCATAGCGAAGTAAAAGAGACTGACCCTTTCCTCACACGTAGTATGTTACCTTATGGCGGAAGGACACAGGATGATAACTCCCAGTGGACCTTGGAGTAAGTCCCGTCAACAGCAAGGGGGTGTGCGCTCTGTGTGCTGGGGTCTAGGAAAGGCTTCATTTGCAAAGACCCTTACAGTGGATGGGTGGTGGGGCAGGGCGGCCCCAGACAAGGTGAGAAGAGCCTGCTTTCCTCTCTTCTTCCTCCTTCTGTGGCCTCAGCCTGGGCTCCTGCCTGGAGTTTGTAGTGCACTGGCCCATCCCAGGCTGAGACCCGCCCCCTGACCTGGTGCGGGAGCCTGGCTCCCTCTGCTGCCCCCGCCCTGCTCCCTCTCTGACCAGCCCTGCTCCCCTCACAACTTGGAGGCTCATCTCCCTGAAGCTGGTGAAGGCCCTGTGTGCTGACTCAGTCAGTTTAGGCCTCCCAGCTACCTGGCCCAGCTGCTGAAGGAACGGAACTGGGAGGGGATGGGCCGGGGAAGGAGAGGATCAGAGGCCTATGGAGACTGAAGCATTTTTAAGCCTTGGCACTGGAATGTAAGAGGTCAAGTGGCCACTGGTATGAGGAGCTATTAATAACAGGTTGGGAGTGGTGGGCATCTGGGGATGTCAGCCTTTGGGCAGGGCTGGAGGTGCTGAGGAATCAAATCAAACTTAGAGCTCAGGACCTGTTTTATGACAAATGAGCAAGGAAACTAGCCTCCAGAGCTCTAAACGGATGACCCCCACCCCCCGGCCCTCTCAGGATACTTCCCAGCACCTACAGCCCTGGGAGACCCTGCCATTATACCCAGAACCCTGTGGCTGGTCTGTGGTAATTCCAACAAGGGGCAGGAGTTACCGGCTTGGCTAGGAGATAGAGGCAGTTTCCCCATCCCTGGGCCTGTATGTTATAGTATACTCTGGGGAAACTGAGGCACGGTGTAAGACCTTGAAAGTACCGGAAGATTTTCTAGGTCTGACATCACTCCCTCTATGGTCAGAGCCTGGCAAGAAAAGCTGACTGTCTCCCCCTTGAGGACACCTGTATTTCTGACTTGCTCTGATGAGGCATCATTCCCGTGGGACGACAGCTGCAGAGTGGTATCAGATGAGTGCCTCTCTTTGGCTGTCGCATCCCTTGTCCCCCCATCCACCCACCTCCCCCAGTTTCTCGCCTCTGGTTGCAGTTCTGTTTTCCACGTCTGGACCTTCCAGTTCTGAGGGCTGTAGAAGTTGCTTTCAAGTGGAGAAAAATTAGGTATCTTTCACGAGGGCTATTTTCCCTCTTATTGTGCTTACCCAATTCCTTTGTTTAGAAGATTCTTTGCTCAAAGATAGAGCAAAAGTAAACTTAAGCCCAATGTGTGTGGATATAACCATATATTCTGATGCTATGTCTTTACACTAATTTCTCTTACACATTTACTCCTGGAGCTTAACGCATTGCAAAGTAGGGCAAACTGCACCATTTCCTCAGAGGGTTCATTCAGAGCATCCTTTACTCCATTTAGGGGATGTCTTAACCTTCTGACCAACCTCCCCCACACCTTCAGCAAAGTCCATTCCTAGGCACAGCTAGTTCCCTTCCCATCCCAGTGTAGCCCCTCTCCTGCTCTCCTAGCTCATTCCAACCACCTCCAGGGGTCCCTCCTTAACGAGGCAAGCCTCTGATGGGCACAGAGCAGCAGAGTCAGGACTAGAAATGGTAGTACACAAAGAAGACGCTCGAGCGGAGAGGGCATTTGAGGGATTGGCAGGGATGGTAGATAAGGACAATGAAGTAATAGACAAGAGCCTAAATTAAAGTGAAGACTCATGCTTGTTTATTGTCACTCATTTTCAGAAAATTCCACCCTTTCCTTCTGTACTGAGATTTGAATTTAGGGGGAGAAATCCAAAATTTATTCCTTCTCTCCACAAATATTTTTGAGTGCCTACTCTGTGCCAGGCATTTTTTGGAAAATCCCCTGCCAGGACTTGACTGGAAAACGGTTAGGAAGCATGGAAGTCCTGCCCAAATTACTCCTGCTGTCCCAGAGTGCCTGAGAGGGCCACGTGCTGATGGAGGGGTTGGGTTGGAATGGCGTGAGGGAAGGCTTCACTTAAGGAGGTGGATTGAAAGTCAGTATCAGGTAGAAAAGGAAGCCCAGGGTGGGGAGGGGTGGGTTCCCAAAAGGAGAGGAAGTGTGGCCCTGCAGGAGGATTGTAGGCTGGGGAGAGACTGAAGAGGTGAAAGCTAGAGCAGTTTACAGCTGCTGGGACAGAATTTCTATTTGACCCACAGGAATTCTAGTAGGGAGTCAGTGTAGGTTCTAGACTCACCCAGAGTGTTTCTCTTTTCCTCTTTCCCTCTCACTTGGAGCCATCACTTATCAAGTGGCATTGAGAGAACTTCAGAGGCTGCATTACTTGATCGCCTGTCAGTAGTGGCCCACTCATCAGTAGGCTGGTGTTGGACTCTTAGCCGGTGTCTCCTTCCCTGCTTATCAGTGTCTGCTGGACGTGACCCGACTGCGGAGGAAGCCACTTCTGCTTCCCTTCCCTGCCTCTAGCAGTCTCAGCCCTCATTCCTCTGTGTTTCTCTCCACAGATAGACTTCACTGCTGACCAGATCGAAGGTGAGTATTAACACATCTCCCTCACAACACTCTCTCTGTTCCGCTTCATGGGGGAGGAAGAGGCGGAATTGTCATCACGACCGTGATCGTAATCATCGCCATCATCGCAAACCTGTGTCTGAGTCAGGGCACACAAAGGCGCGACTGGAAAATAGTAGGCAAAACAGCCAATGTAGATTTGCTCTTTGCTCACTTTCACCTGTTACGTGTATTTACTTAAGCGCTTTATGCGGATTAACTTCTTTAATTCTCACAACAACCCTGTCAGGTAGGGACTATCACCATTCCATTTTACAGGTGAGAAAACTGAGGCACAGAGAGGCTGGGTGGCTTGCCCAGTCTTGCACAGGCAGTTGGTGGTGGAGCCAGAATTCCAACTCAGGCAATTTGATTCCAGACTTGAGTTCTGGACTACTCTGCCAGAATGCCTGGAACATAATAGATGCACAACAAAAATGCCTTTTTTCCCCTCCACCCCCAAAATGTCCTATCCAAGATATTTAGAAGGCCTCATTTCTGTTCCTGTTATTGGAAAGCCCTCCATAGGTTATCAGCTTCATCTCCCCTCATCCTGAGGGCTGCCAAGATGCTCACCCACTACTGGCGACAGGACCAGCGGTGACTTGGGGAGGCCCTAGTCCACCTGTGATCTCCATCAACAACCCTCCTCCATCTTTGATAAAGACAATTTGTTTTTTCAGTCTTATATAAGTGTTAAATGTGCCTTCAAGACAAGCCTTGAGATCGCCCACCCTCCAACCTGACTGTCACTCCTTAGCCCTTCTTCCGTAGGAGTCTGGTGTTTTGAAAATGAAGTGTTTCCTCCTGTGATTCCTACTTTCCAGCTGGGAGTCATCCTCATTGCAGCTCATCCCTCAGTGTCGCCCACCAAATGCCTCCAGGACATAAAATCATAGGAATTGAAAGGCATCTTGAAAGGTCACCTGATCCAACCCTTTGATTTTAAGCACAGACTGTATTAAAAAAAAATTAAACTAATACATCTACAAGGTAAAAAATATATATATCATATACTATTTAAAAAATAATGAAAAAAAATTTCCTCTTGCTTTCCTCTATGCTGATCCCTCTCCCAAAATAATCACTTTTAATAGGTCTATGTATTCTTTGATAAAAATGTATAGTGTTATACCAGTATGTATGTATGTGTGGATGTATGTATGTGGCAAGTTTACAAATTGAGTTGTGTGATACATACTGTCCTGCAACTTTATTTAATATATTTGGGTTTAGTAATATATAACATAATATATATTATTTAATAATATATTTAAATATCTTTTTGTAGTTAACACAAACAGTTCTACCTCATTCTTTTAAACAATCATATAGATTCTCTCACATGGACGTAGCTTTTAATCCAATCAGGCCCACATTGATAGACCTTCAGTTTTTTCCCAGTTGGCGGAAGTCAGTGTGCTTTCCCCAAGGGACCTGCCTAGCAACGAGTCAAAGGATATGAGCATTTTAAATCGTCATAGTTATTGCCAAACTTCCCTCTCCAAAAGTGACACCAGTTACCCACAAATAGGGCATGAGAGCTGGCAGATGCATTTTGAAACTAGTGAGCTGAATCTGACTCAGTTTTGCAGTACCCTGTGGACATACTTTCCGTCAATAGTTTGGAGTACTGTGAAATGCTTGAATTTTAATGCATTTTAGTTAAATATATTCTTAGTGTATGTAGAAACACAGTGACACCTGTGAGGACTAGAAAATCAAGTAATGGTTTAAAATGTTCATTTCTCAAATAGGAATCATGGGCAAAGCCAATTGGGACAGCTGGTTGCCCCTTTTCTCCAGGAAGATTATTGGGGCTGGAGGCCTAACTCGTTTCAGTCTTTCACCCTTCTGACTTTGAAGGCATTGTTCCTTAGTTTGGATTGAAATTGTTTCTGCTTTAATTTTACTCCTACTTTTTCTTTGCTCTTTGTGAAGATGAAGATGGTTTTCTCATGTTATGCTGGAAATAACATTATTTGGAACCAGCAGACTTTGATATTAGCTCTAATTCTGCCACCGTTGGCCAAAAGACTTGGGGACTTGGGGCAAGTCTTTTTTTTAAACCCAAATTCTCTTATCTGCAAAGTGAGGGTATTTGGTTCTTTTCAATTCAGAAATTCTGTGACTCTATTCAGCGTCCTCTAGAGACCCTCCATCTGTTTGAAGATAGTTATCAAGTTCCTTCTATGCTTTATGTTCTTTAGGTGATATAATCCCAATTTCTTTTACGCATTTTTTTGTTGTGTTTTGTTTTTCTCTCATAGGCACTAGCTTCTAACTCCTGACTTCCTTCTCTGACCCCTCTCCAGATTTCCATGTCCTTCTGGAAAGGGATCACCACCATTGCTCATTGCTCTAGCAGGCAACTCACTGCTACAGGCCTTTGAAAAAGGGTTTCTTTGGGCCCATGAACACCACCTCTCATACAGCTCAAGTTCACACTGGCCTTTTTTTCCTCCTAGTAGCATCCTAGACTTCAGTGTTTGGTTTCTATGCGCACACCAGTCTTCCCAGCAGGCCAAACATTTGCTGGTGCATCAGGCCTCTTCCTCCTCTTCTTTCCTCCTCACTATGTCCCTTGGTTTCCTTAATAGTTGGCTGGAAGTCACATTTGCAGTGGCCTATAAATGAGAATAATGATACTACCTTAGCATAAAGTTTTTGTAAAGATTAATGGGATAATTCATGCAAAGTTACCAGCTCAGAGCCTGGCCCATGGTAAGTACCCAAACCATAGGTCATTGTTCTTATTATTTCCTTCCTGTTCCATCCTCCTGCTAAGTATCATTCTTCTTTTATGAGGAGACTCCTACTTTTATTGAGTCTGACCTCACTGTTCTGAATGAACTAGGGGAAGATTAAAAAGTCTGAGTTCAGATTCAACTAACATATTTATTGAACTTTGAATTTGTGCTGAAGCCATGCTAATTGCTTTAAAAGTTGAAAAACAAAACAAAACAAAACCTTCTAACAGAGCTGTGAGATAGATGCTGTTTCTTTTTGACAGAAGAGGAAACCAAGGTCAGGGAGCTTAAGTGACTTGGCCAGGATCACACAGTTAGCCGGTAAAACTGGGATCAAACTCAGTAAAATGATACTAACAGCATTGTTGGAGAATTTACTCTGTGCACAACATTATGTTAAGATATTTTTACGTACATTATTGTATTTGATTTGAATATAATTTAAGGACCCTATGAGGTAGGTGCCATTTATAGAAGAGAAGAGGTTTATAGAAGTTAAATATTTACTTGCCCAGGGTCACATAGCTAGTAAGCAATAGAAAAGGAATTTGAACTCAATTATTTAGTAACTTGAAAGACATGCAGTTTTATATCTTTGAAATTCATATAAAGCCTAATAAAAGGTTGCAGGTAAATGTCTTGGGGAACTTGCTTTGACATATGGAATGATTTGTAAATAATCCATATGCAGCCTCCAAGGAAATAAGTATTTCTAAAGAACTTAGGGAGGATTAAAAGCAGCTTTTCTCCTAAGTAGTTCATTCTTCTTAGGTTTGTATTGTAAATCTGCTTAGTAAACCATTTCTTTGTGGATAGCTTAAGGTAACTTCAATGCCATACCCAGTCCAAATTATCCCCAGTAATGAGTTGGTTGAATCCAAATTGATGAGGAACTAAGGTTCTTTGTGAAGGGCCCAGAAGTGCCTTCATTCAGCCTTGCCCCTTGGACACCTGCCCCAGTACCTTCTGGAAGTCTGGCTCCAGAATGAGGAAATATAATAATAACCACCATTTGTTGATTCCCTTACCATGTGCTAGACACGTTCTTGGTATGCTTTGTAATCCCTCCAGAAGCCCACTCTGGTGGACACTGTATTCCCACTTAGGGCTAAGAAACAGATGGCCCACGGAAGTTAGTAGTTTGCCTGAGGCCACGTGGGGGTCAGTGATGGAGCTGGGGTGACTGACTGTTTCCACCATGCCACCTCATCCTGCCTGGGAGCCTCTTTCAGCCTGGGATAGGCAGCACTGATATTAGCTGACTTTTGAACAGGTCTTATCACTTTGCAAGCTGCCTCCACAGACCGCCACCTCCTTTGACATCATAGTGACTGGGAGGGAGGGTGGGGTGGAGCCTCCCTCCATGTATGCATCACGAAACTAAGACCCAGCTGGGCTCATTCTGTGCTGTTTGGCAGAGCCAAGATGAGAACCTGGGAATCCTGGCTTCTTAGCCGGTACTCTCTTCACTTCCCTGCCTCTTTTGATAGTTAGGCACCTCACCTCCACAGGGAAGGATGGGTAGATGGGAGGTGCAGAGGCAGGGGAGAAGTTCAAATGACATACATAACAAGTGATTGATGGAAGAGACCCCAGGCCCAGCGCTGGAAGAGGTTGTGGCGGCCCCAGGATGCCTCTTTGCTTGTCAGAAGATGGGATGGGGGTCGGCTCTGGGGAGGGGCTGGGATGGGCCAAAGGGAAATTCTGAAATATTTCATTAACCCCATTGACCCGCTCTTCAGCGTGGGTGGAGGCTGATCGGCCCCCAGCCCCCACTTCACCTGGCCCTCAGGGGCTGCAGCCAGTCTTCTCTCCGCAGAATTCAAAGAGGCCTTCTCCTTGTTCGACCGGACCCAAACTGGAGAGATGAAGATCACATACGGGCAGTGCGGGGACGTGCTGCGGGCCCTGGGCCAGAACCCCACCAACGCCGAGGTGCTGCGTGTCCTGGGCAAGCCCAAGCCGGAAGGTCAGCGAGCCCCGCTGCCCCTGGGGCTCTCTCCCTCGCCCTCTCCGGCCCCTCAAGACCAGCCGACCCCTCAAGACCAGTCTCCTCCCATTGCTAGAGTTACCTGGGGGCAACCCCCATCCCCTGCCACCGGCCCAGCACTTAGTTGATGCTTGAAGAGTGTAGTGGGAACTTATTCTTGTTTCCCCACTAGGGCAAGAGCTTCTAGGGAGCAGGAGAGATGTTCTGCTGCTTCAGTGTCTTCCTCCTACACCCAGGGGTCCAGGGACATGGGGCAGGGAGACCTGGAGGGAAGCTGATAAGGAACCACTGGCTTGCTCTTCCCCACCAGCAAATCGTGGCTGAGGTGTCACAGCACTGAGATGTCCTGTGACCACTGTGGGTTGTATCACAAATAATTTGCTCCTAATAACAGTTAGAAAAGATTAAATATAATTTGCTTAATATAGATTAGAGAAGACTCAGAGTTACCTCTGTAATGATGCCTCTTTCACTCATTTGCATTCAATAGGTTCTGGTGAATGAGAGTTTAGAAAGTGGTGGAAATGGTCCCATTTGTGAGGTCATCTGTCACACATGGCAGTCAAGTTAACAGCTGTCCTAACATACATGTCCTTCTGAGAGGACAGGGCCAGGCAGACCTGGGCAGGAGCCCCAGACAGAGTGGGCCGTCTCTAGAGGCTTCCTGGGCCCCATATTGGTCTCCACCCCCTTTCTTGGTTCTCGTCCCTTCCCCCACTGCTCTTGTTGGTGAAGGAAGACACCAGTGGGGGGTGAAGGATGAGGGCCAGCAGGGCTTCTCAGAGGTCAAAAGATACCTGGGCACCTCCACTTGGGAGGTTCCTAGGTTATAAAAGAAAGAAATGCCAACATTTGGGGTCTTTAAAAATGGTTTCCATCTATTAAATTAAAGCTTTTAACACATGACAACGTGGGAAAAGTGTAGCAGTTGCACAAGAATCATACATTTATGAAAATTATTGACCCAGAGTTGTGCCAGGCAGTGCAGTCTAGTGATGGAACCCAAATTTGGAGTTATGCAGTTTTCTTTTGGCCATCTCGTCAGTTTACCTCTGTGACTGTGAGTCTGTAACATGTCAAAAGTCTAAGTTGTGAATGTGAGGCCTGGGCTGTGTGGCCCTTTGGGCCCCTCAAATCTTGCTGCTGCCACCTTAGCTCCCTGCCCCTCTGTCCACGTGGAACGCAGAGGTCTGGGTGGAGTCACGGTCCTTCTTCCCTCCTGCCCTAGTTCTCTCACTGAGAAGTGCCCGGAGCTCCTCCCGGGGCTCTGTGGCCTCCACGATGGTCAACTGGGTGTCCCACCAGAAGTGGCGGCAGCTGGGTGCTGGGTGCTGCCAGGGACAGGCCAGCCCCGCAGAGCTGGGTGAGGCCCCTCCTGACCCTCTGCTCCCCATGAGCTCAAGTTGAATTCTCTGTCCCTCCCCACGCCCGCTGGAAGAGATGAATGCCAAGATGCTGGACTTTGAGACGTTCCTGCCCATCCTGCAGCACATCTCCCGCAACAAGGAGCAGGGCACCTATGAGGACTTCGTGGAGGGGCTGCGTGTATTCGACAAGGAGAGCAATGGCACGGTTATGGGTGCCGAGCTTCGCCATGTCCTCGCCACCCTGGGTATGCCAACTGGGCAGAGGCGGGGCCCAAGTGGGAGGAATGGCGGGTGGGAGGTGCCCGAGTGCATATGTTAGTGGAGGCATGAGGGTCTCTGCATCCTGAGGGTCACATCCTGATCCAGGCCTGTCTCCTTGCTCTCTGCGGGAACAGTCTTCCCTAGCTGGGTTTGCTCAGCAGAGCTAGAAGGAGAGGAGGGCAGGTTGGCAGAGCAGGGGGTAGGCCTGAGAGGTAGGACCCAGGGCTCCTGTCCTTGTCTTTGCCTCAGTCCCTGGGGTCCTCGTCTGCTCATCCAGTGGTGGCTGTAGGCAGAGGGAGAGACCTCGGGGACTAGGAAGAACCTTAAGACCTTTGGCTCCACCCTCCAAAGCCTTTGGGGAAAGTTTGGTGTGACCACTTCCTAGATCCAGGGAGTCTGGGGCCTTCAGACTCAAGAAGGTGTTTGGGTTTTGCTTGTCTGTCCTCTGCCCATCTGTAATTAAGTGCCTTCTGTCTCCCATCCCCAGGAGAGAAGATGACTGAGGCTGAGGTGGAGCAACTGTTAGCTGGGCAAGAGGATGCCAATGGCTGCATCAATTATGAAGGTATCAGCTCATGCCTCACTTATCCCAGCACCCGGGGATGGGGGGTGGGCACAGTTCAGGCTGGGCGGGGCTGCAGAACAGAACAGAGGCAGGACCTAGAGATATGAGCACCTGGTGGGCTTTGGTGAGTCTCCGTGGATACTGTTCTTTTCCATCCTGGGAGTGGACATCACGTGTAATGGAAGGAGAATGGATTTTGAAGATGGCTCTGTGATATACCAGCTGTGTGACCTTAATCAAGTCACTTACCTTCTCTGAGCCATGGTTTCTCATTGGAGCAATGGGGTGATGCTGGCACTTCTCTCAAGGCTATGGGGATTAGCAAAGATACCATAGCTCCTTTCAGCTATGCCAAGTACCTGCACAGAGAGTGGACACAGAGCAGCTAGGTGTCTTCATTTCTTCCACCTTCTCCCCATCGACCCCCAAATAAGAGAAAGAATTACAGACTGGAGATAGGGTCATGGGAAGGTTTGAGGTCAGCAGTATGAGCAGGCAGAAGTTTAAGGGGCCGAGAGGCCAATAAAGAGCTGGGAGGGGCCAAGCGCAGTGGCTGCTTTCCATCTTCTTTCCCAGCCTTTGTCAAGCACATCATGTCCGGGTGAAGCAGACCCCCAGGGTGAGTGCAACCTCTCCCTCCCGGTCCCTCTGGGGCCCCAGAGGGGCCCTGAACATCACCACATGCCCTAGAGCTCTTCTCTCCTGGTTTGACCCCTTAAGAGGAGCCAGCAGGAGATGGAGCACAGCCTGGACCCGCCCATCTGTCCCCTCCACTCATAGTGCGCCTCCCTCACCTGCTTCCTGCCCTGCCCTGCCCCTGCCCTCCCTGGTCTTTGCACCCAGCCGCATTCTCCTCCCTCTCCCAAGATCTCTCAAGGCAAGACCGTTCCCTCAGGTGGGGCCTCCTGTGTGGAGCCCTGCATGTGAGAAAGCCGGCTCCCAGGTGGAAGGGAATGTTCCCAGCCTGTGCTCTGAGCCTGTTCCTCTTCACTCCCTTCCCTGAGCTCCCCTGGGCTTGGTGTCACCCTGGCAGGGGCTGGGGGTGTGGTCGGGGCTGGGGGAGGGGGCGAGAGAGGTGCCCTTTCCATCTAGCGCTTTCTTGCAGGTGCCTGGCCCTTGGCCTTAGCCCAGGTGAGTTACCCAGAGGCCCGGAGTGGCTGAACTGGAGCTGGAGTCCTGGACTTTCCGCTGCCTCACAGCCCCAAGGACCTTACAGGCCCATAGCCCTCCCTGTAAATAAACAGCTCCAGGGAAGCTGGGCCAACTTCCTGGATTCCAACCAGTCTCTGAGTTGTTTTTTACAACTAATTAATTAACTGAAATGGGTTTTTGTGAATGTGCGTAATAATGTCACCTGAGGCCTCGTGCACATTCCTGATCCCTGGTGCCCGATTCAGCCCTGCTTGTTCTGGGCAACTGACTGACTCTGCGCTCAAACCTGGGACTCATACCCAGGACCGTGTGTCAGGGCAAGTGTCAGGGTCAGAGGGAGCACAGGCCTCAGGCGGGAGGGCAGGGGAGTGGGGAAGGCAAGTGGGAAAAGGAAAGAGACAAGAAACCAGCAATTGGGAAGAAGGAGAAAGATGATGGAATGAAATCAAAGGCACACACATGAGCAGGACACTTACAGTGGAGCTCAGGGGCCCCAGTGACCCCTGGACGGGGGTCCCTACACCCCTGAGAACTCCCCAAGGTCGATTAGATGCTCACCTCGCCTCTCTGCTGTCCTGTCAGGGCATCCAGCCCAGAACTTTGTGGAACAACTTCTGTAAATCCAGCCAAAGCTGAGATTCCATGAGCCCAAACGGGAAGCTTGTCATGGGAAGCCGAGAACCACGAGCCCAAATGCAGCCTTCTCAGGATTTAAAGTCTGGCTGGAAAGATGAGACCAAGGCCCACATGAATCCTGTCTTTTTAAAGGAGGGGTTCCAACTTTGGGAGCAAACTGTTGAATCAGAAAACCCAAGAATTTTATGTGGTTGTGAGTGGTGTGTGGGGGTGGTCATTGACTCCAGTGGTTTTCAAACTTTATCTCCACAGCGTTTTACTAAACTAAATTCTATGCAGAAGCCAATGCACGAAGGAAGCAGAGCTTCTCTGCTCGAGGAGTTGAGGGCTGTATTGCAGCTTCTGAGAGCCTCTAACTGGGCTCCAGGGAGCACACGCAGAAGACCACTGGCTGAGTCAGACCTAATTGTAAAAATAAGGACACATATCCTTAGAGGTGAAGCGACTTACCCAAGGTCACAGCTAATGGACATCAAGACCAGGTCCCCAGAATCCCATATTTTCCCACTTTTCAACACACACCAACCTGCCTTTGAAATCTTTTCCAGATTAGGCTCTTGGGAGTCGTCCCTCTTGTTTGCTCCCTACCATTCCGACTGCTCTTTTTTTGACCTTACTTCTTTCTCCTTTTTAAAAGTCGCCCTCCCCAACTTGAAATGCCAGCATTCCTCCTCGGTGCTGAGGCTTTGTCAGGTTTTCCTCTCCCCCTGCCTCCTTCCCTTTCTTTCTCCACAAAGTATTTATTGTCCACTGTATACATTTAAGAGGAATTGGGGTTAAGGCTCCCAAAGATTAAAAACTGAAAGAGTTTTCCCTGCCAAAATAGCTTACCGTCCAGTTAAGCAAGGACATGAGCATCGAGCAACGAACTAGGGAATGGTCACCAAATAACACAACCGCAGCAGGACACCCTCATCCATGTAACGTGTGGCGTGAGTTCCAAGGGACCTGCAGGAAGAGGAGGCAGAAGGCAGTGAGGTGTGACAGGGACGATTTTCCTTAGGAGATGGGCTTTAGGTGAGACCTTAAAGGAAAAACTGCCCCAAGGTTGGTACTGACTCAAGGAGGGAAAGTGCATAAGTGGGGTTACTGATTCAGTCACAGACACTTATTGAGCACCTGCTGTGTGTATGGTGCTGGCTTGGGCCTTGAGGATACACAGAACCAGACAGAAGTGGCCCCTGCTTTCCTAGAGCTTACAATCGAGTGGGAAGACAGGCATTAATTAGTTGTCATCATCGTGTGACAGATGAGAATCAACATTTACTGAGTGCAGTATCAGTTATGATTATATTTATTTGGCTGTTGGTTTTGGAGACCAAAAAACTGTGGCTTAAAAGACATGAAAGTGTGTCTTTCCCTCCCACCCAATTCCAGAGGTTGGCAGCTGCTCTCCACAAAGTCCCCAGGACCCAGGTGATCTTTTATTTTGTGACCTTGCAGTGTGTGACCTCTGCTCATGGTCCATGAGGGCAGCTCCAGCTTAGCCACCATGTCTGCTGAGGAAATAGTTCTGGAAGCATCGCCTACTTGGTGAACCTCCTTGGAACCAGCACGACTTACCAGGCGCCTAACTGTGGTGGGCTTGTTCTCCTGTCCTCTTAGTCGCCTCTTCCCTCCCCCAGCCTCTTCCTGCCCGGCTGTCAGTAAGGCTCAGCACTTGCCCCATAAGGGGAGAGATATGGGTAAAAGATGACCTCTTTCCAAAATTTTCTTCCACTGGACTGACTTCCAGTATTTCAAACCAGGACTCAGTCTGCTTGAGTTGCAGAACATCGCAGACTGGTGGCTTAAATGACAGGCATTTATTTCCCACAGTTCTGGAGGCTGGAAGCCTGAGCTCCGGCATGACTGGGCTCTGGTGAGGACTGTTTCTGGCTTGCAGTTGGCTACCTTCCTGCTGTATCCTCAGAGAGAGAGGAGGGGAGAAAGAGGGTGAGAGACACAGACAGATGGAGGGGTAAACTCATCCCATTATGAGGGCTCCACCCTCATGACTTCACCAAAACATGATTACCAAAGGCCCCACCTCCAGGTGCCACCAGCTGGAGATTGGGGGCTAGGGATTAACATCGGAATTTTGGGGGACACAATTCAGTCCCATAGCAGACCGTGACCTCTTTCCCCTAGGCTGCCACTCTGCCTCCTTCTTCTCCTCTTCCCTCTTTGCCCCCACGACTTCTTAATCCATCTTGTTCCTCCCTCCAAATGCACTCCTCTGTCTGCCATTCAGATTATTCCCACTCTCCAAGACCCAAGCCAGGCTCTCCCTTTCCGCAGTTTTCCCCTCTGCCCGAGGTCTCCGTGTGAATTAGCAACAGCCTCAATTTAGCCTCCTTAACACAACTGCCAAGTTGTAACTGACGGTATCAGCACTAGAGGAGACCCTGGAGGCTTCAGCATGGTGCAATCACCTGAGAGCAGCAGTTCGCATAACGCCAGCAGGTGTTTATCATCTTCTAAAAGCTCTCTTTGGTTACTAGGGTTTTTAAGGTGGAATGTGTGTTGGAGATTTCTGGTGCAATATCTGGCTTATACCACTAGATAGCACAATTGCAGCAGCGTGCTTCCAACAGGACGCCCAGGAGTTAAGAGCTAGAGGAAAACTGATTCCTGGCCTGGGCTGGAAGGAACCTTCAGAAGTCATTTAGTCCATCTCTATGCCTTCAGAAAAATGGAGGTTTTATTCACTTTCAAAGACTCACAACGATCAGTGAGCTTGCTTCAGCACCCCCACAAAGTTTTTGCAGTGAGGGGTCAAAGAGAGGACACTGTTCTGGACACATGGAAACCTGGTGTCTAGTCCAGTTCTGCTCCTAGGTCACATACACTCAGCTTCCGTTCCAGAGGTTGCAAAATGAGGAAGTCAGTTAGGTCATGTGTAATGTTCTTTCCAGCTCTCTCATACAGGTCTTTTAGAATTCAACTAGCTTCTTGCTACATTCGGCTCTAGTCCAGTTGTTTTATTTTCACCCTTATTGTCTATATGTGTTTAGAATCTTAAGTGGTAGAACGTATACCACTTAAGATTATACCACCACCATTCAAAGTAACTGTGGAGTGCATAGTTGTAGATGATTTGGGACGTAAAAAGCAAAGTTACTCATGGTCTTTCACTCTCAGTTTACACTCTACTGAAGCAGGTATGATCCACAGGTGAAAACGTTAAACTAAGACAAACTAGAAGAGGGGGAAGGTATAGCTCAGGTGGTAAAGTGCATGCTTAGCATATACAAGGTCTTCAGTTCAATCCCCAGTACCTCTTCTAAAAATAAATACGTAAACCTAATTACCCCCCCAAAATAAATAAGTTAATTTTTAAAAAGACAAAAATAACAGAAGAAAACACCAGGTAGTATATGTTTAAGGACTGAGGGTGAAATATGGGATCATAGCACTTGGAACTCAGAGAACAGCCAGGGAGGACTTCATGGAAGAAGTGTGGCACACTTGGATGGGATACAAATAGACAAGAACCCAGAAGAGGGATTCCTGACAGGAGGCACAGGGTGTCTTCTTCTTTGCCAACTATAACCACAGTCCCTGCCTTTTAGGATTTGTATAAAAAGGAGTAAAGAAAAATAACAGTGAGAAAAAGAACTGGAAAATGAGACAAGAGGCAAGGAGAAGGGAAGAAAGACAGAGGGTGGAAGGGGGAGCAGGGATCACACTCCAGAGTGAAACGTACCAATTCAGAGGTAGAGAAACGAAGTTAAAAAATCTAAATATAAACTGGGGAAGTACTCATTCTTTTTCTCCCCTAATCTTGTAGAGCCACAGAATCATAGGCTTTCAGGGATGGAAGAGACCTCTAGTTCAATCTCTTCCATAAAATCCCTATAAAATAATTGTCCAATGTCCACTCGAATACCCACTATGACAGGAGACTCACTACCTCCCAAGATAGCCCACTCCATTTGCAAAAGCTCTAATTGATACTCTTCCTGGTAGGAATCTGACATTTATATCCCTGAAATTTCCATCCACTGGTCCTGGATTTGTCTTCCAAAGTGACTCAGAACAGATGGAAGACCATTCCTCATGGTACAAGTTGGCATTTCCACTTTCCTCAGCTAAGCACCTCCCAGCAGGTGCGTGTTCCAGACCGAGATTCTTGAACCCATTTACTGTGGCCAGTTGCTGTCTATCTTATTCTATCTCAGGGCTCAGTTCCTGCTTAGCAACATACTTTCACACTTTAGAGTCTCGAAATTAATCTTTTTGACAGAAAAGACAGAGGTTGTATAGGTTGGAGGGTTGTATAGAGGTTGGAGGGTTCTGCTAATGTCACACTTCCAGCACCGAGGACTGTGCCCTTTCTGTACGTCTTGCTCTGAACCTAACTGCAGCAGATTTTTGTCAGTTTTAACATTAAAAAGATTTCACCTCACTTGGGACTTACACTTTCTTGGCCGTGTTCTCACAGCCCCATGTCACAACTTTATGTGCACAGTCCCTTGGCTGCCCCTCCTTCCATCTATTGTGGATAAGAAATCTAGAGAATTCTCTTTCCTCAGCTCCACCAGCCTCCTCAGAGCCCCTTCCCCACATATTTCCTTATTTAGTTGTTTGCAGTTCACTTTTGAGGACCATCCATCCCTCTGGTGATAGGAAGAGAGATTTTTTTTTTGAGCTGTTAATGTGATATATTTTTCACTTTAAGTGACATTCTTTTCTTTCTAACTTTACAAGCAATACCTGCTCATTGCAGACAACCAGAAATACATGAAAGCATAAAGTAAGAAATAATAATCACCCATAATCCCACCCCGCCGAAGAAACCACTATTAGCATTTTGATGGATATCCTCCCCCTGTCTATATATATGCATTTAACTCAAGTATAATTGACTTACAACACTATGTTAAGGAACAGAGATTCTTAACCATAAAAGACCCTTCTGAGCACATTTATGCTCTTTTTCCAAGAAGAGAATTTGTACTTTTTATCATATTTGCAAAGGGGTCAGAGACTCAAAAAAGGTTAAGAACTGTAGTTCAAAAGCCTCTGTGGGATTCTGTTTATCTTTCCTCTTAATGTTTGGACGTTGCATCTGGTGTGGCCAGCCTTCCTCCGGGCTACCACAAGCTCTAAGAGAGCTCATCTCCTTCTCCCAGGACCCCCTTCACTTCCCTTCCCTCCCAGCCTTTCCTTGGGTCACACTAAGGTTTCAAGAGGCAGTTTCATCTTTTACTTTTCCTTCCTCCATGGCCCTGCTTTTAGCTGAATAAGTGTTCCTCCCAAGGCCCGGGGAGTCTTGCTCCAGACACTGCTGAATGTGCGTGGGTGGACGTCCCCCAGCCGGAGCCGGAGGCCCACAAGCTCATGGTGTCCCCGTGGTCACTTCTGCTCCTCTCTCCTTTATCAGGTTCCGATTCCTCCACTGGACTTCCTCCCTCAGATGGGTGGGCGCCCTGCGGCTGCGGATCTTCTTGGTGGTCAGCACTCACTCAGCCGCTCTCCTACCAGTTTTCTTTTCTCAGATCAGAGTCCATTGTCCAAAGGAGATTATTCCCATCTCACAAACGTTTGGTCATACCCATGCTCACTTTCTAAAAACATCTTCATCATTTTGCATTTACATAAATCTCATACGATGTCAGTTATTAGGGACCGATGTGTCCATTGCTCACCAAGGGCCATGGGCGGTGTAAGGCAGGTTGCTCAGGGTGCCTGTGTCTTGGTTTCTCTTTGTGGAGTGTGAGACTTTGGTCCGGGCATTTGAGGACTTGGAACAGCACATCTAGCAGAGCAGAAATTCAAAGAAGGACCACCTTGGCCCTACTGCTTCTCCCACTCTGTCCCACCCACACGGCAACTTTCAAGGCAGCCCTTCTGTGTGTGCCCTTCATGTTAAGGAGAAGCCAGAGGTCAAAGACCTAGCGTTTAAGAGCTTGGTTACCAGTTGGAATGTGGTGAGAACTGTGTAGTCAGTTTCACGATCATTT